GGCTCAGGTCGGCCCGCCGGGCCCGGGGCCAGCGCATGCCGGGGCGGCCCCTCGCTGGCTCCTGCGGGCAGCGAGAGCGGTTCCTGAGCCGCGCGTGCGGGGCCGGGGCTCGCGAAGGACTGAAACTCGCCCTGGGCCTGTCCCCAGCCCAGCCCTTGCAAGATCCCCTCTCCTACCCTAACCCCTGTTGGCGCCTTGTGTTTTAGGGGTGCCCGGGAAGGAAGCCAGGGCTTCTGACCTCCTCAGCGGGTGACCACCGCAGAGCGGCACCCCCAGCCCATAAAATGAAATATTCCATTTTTGCAAACGCCTCATTTTAAAGGAAAAACCGAAGAGCACAGAGAGCGCTCCCCCCCCCCCCCCCGCGCGCCTGGACCGCCCCACCTGCCCCTGCCCCAGGACCGGCCCAGAGCCTCCCTTCCAGAGGGAGGGACTCTCCTTGCAAGCAAGCCAGGGGTCGGCTTTTCCTCCTTCCCTTTTACCCACCCCACCGGGAAGCTCAGGGCTTCTGATGACGCCGTTACCAGTTCTTCCTGTTTTTCGTGGCTGTTACTGGCTTCTGGTTCATCTTACATCCTTGGGCCCAGTGTTTCAGGCAAAGCTGTCTTCCTTGGCAGACTCCTATTCCTTCCTTAAAACCCACCCCAACTGATCCATTTTCCAGGAAGCCCTCACTGACCCATTAAGGAGGACCCTTGCTCACTTTTGGGCATCCCCAGTCCTGTTTCTCTTTCTAGCCCAGTCCTGATTCAATGGCAGTATCTGTATCTGGTTTTGTCTTTCTCAGAACTGAAGGCACCCTGGGGCTTCTGGCATTTCCCAGCATGAGGCAGACCACAGGGGGAATCAGGGTATACTGGGGGAAATGTTAAGTAAAAGTGAGTTCATTCAGTCTCTCCCTGGTGAACTCTTAAGCATCCTTCAAACCCCCAGCTCTAATGACCCTTCCTCTTGCAAGATTTCCTGTCCTACATCCCAGCTGAGCTCCCGGTTTCCCTTCCAAATCTCTTCTCCTGGCTTCTCTCAACTCTGTCACTGGGCTGTGAAGGCATGAGGGACTTCCGGCCCCCCACACCTAGTGGAATTCAATGAGTGTCTACTGCGTGAATGTGGAGACTGCAGCACTTACCCTAGGCAGTCGGGGGGCCTAAGTGCCAGGCTGGGGTTGCTTCAGTCTTCCCAACAGCACCTGCAACAGTGTGCAGTAGTCAGGGCTCCTGTCAGGCCCTTCAGAGCCCAAGTGTCCCTGGGTGCCCATTGCCCAGGGGCGAGCAGGAGGCGCATTCTGGCTTCACTGGAGGCTGCAGGACCACATTGGCCGGGGTGGGGGGCAGGGCCTCATTCCCTGGCCGCGAGGGCACTTCCCAGGTGGCCCTACCTCATGCCTGCCTGGCAAGGCCTCCTGGGCGACGTTATCTCTGTGCAGTCCTGGAGCTGGCCTGAATCCCACCTCCTGAGTCCTGCTCCCTGACCTTGGGAGACAGCCTTGGACTCTGAGCCTCAGTGGGCAACAGCAAAAACCAACTGTGTGCAAAACTGCTGCGGAGACTTTGTCCTCTAAGGTTGGTCAGCTTTCCTATGACTGAGATGTCATGCCCAGGCCTATAATTGATTTTTAAAAAAAATGTCTTTAGTACATGGTCTACAGGGCCTCACTGCACAGATCAGAATTGTGGTGATCCTTTTGTTTTCAGCCTCCCAAGTGCTGGGATTACAGGTGCGTGCCACTATGCCAAGTCTCAGTCCCTGTCTCAGTGTGCCTCAGGGGGCGGGGCTAGCATGGCAGGCTGGAGATTGAACCCCAGTCCCTGCATCTACCTATGCAGGCACTTTAATCCCCTGAGCAATCGGGCTGACCCTCTGATTTTTTTTTTTTTTTAAATGCATTTGGCTCAGGGTCTCACTATGCAGCTCAGGCCATAGCGATGTGGGCCAGTGCTGAGATTACAGGCCTGTGCCGCCACGCCCAGTCTCAGTGGATGGCTCAGTGCACCCAGGGTCAGGCTGACGCAGCATGTGGTGTTGGGGGTCAGTTCAAACCCCGGCCCCTGTGTTTGCCTAAGCAAGTGCTTAGTCCCCTGAGCTATCTCACCAGCCCTCCCATGCCTACAACTGAAAGGAGATTTAACTTTGGGCTCATGGTCTCAGGGGACTCGGTCCATGCTGGGCTGGCTTGAAGGCAGAGCCAGCTTGGCAGAAGGGGCTGGTGGCCCCATCTGCTGAGCTCATGGCAGGCGGGCAGCAGGGCAGGGGATGGTGCCAGAGGAAGCAGTTAAGAGCCCGATATAGTCCCCACTGTCGCAGCCCATGACTGGACACACCTACAAGTATGTGTGCTTGGCTTAGTCTCCAGGAAGTTCTTAAGCTGATTATTTGTCACAGTGAAGGTTAAGGTGACATTCCACCCTTTCTCAACTTGACACCCAAGCCTATCCTTAGCTGTACTTAATCTGCAAGTGAGGCAACAGCAGCTCCATAATTCTGCCCAGCACAACACAATTCTCCTGGGTGTAACTGAAAATATAAGTTATTCCCCCAAGTCCTAATAGCCTCAGCATTTCTAAAAAGTCCAAGGACAGACAAGAATAGAACCAAAGTGAGATCAGACCTCCCCAGCGGAGCAAACAGTAAATCCTGTACCTCCTCATCAAGCAGCTGGGCTCAAGGTGGCAAGTGTGAGGCCAGCAGCCCTACGTCTAGGACCTTGCTGACTGCAGCCTGGATGGGATTTCCCTTGAGCAGGCTCTGTTTGCTGCCTGCAGCTTCCTCAGCAGATGGCCCAAATTCTTGACTTCTTTGATGCACTGGGGTCTCCTCTGCACCTTCACAGCTTTGCACACTGCCCTCTCAGGGGCATACTGCCTGGCCTCCTGGGCTTCTTTTCTGAAATCTGCATGGGCACCTCCAGGACCCCACAACTCTTGCATTCTCCATGTCTATAAAACCACCATCAGTTGGATGACACCAAGGTCTGCTACCAGCTTGAGCACAGCTGGGCCCCCTTAGGTCATGGCTGCAGAGGCCATGGGTAAGCAGGGTGCATTTTCTCCTGGGAACCTGTGCCCTAGATAGACACCCCGTTTTTTTGTTTGTTTTGCATTTTTTTTGCTACTGGGGATTGAACTCGGGATTTTGTAATTTCCAGGCAGGTGCTTTGTGCCACTGAGCTATAGCCCCAGCCCTAGACCATCCTTCTTGAGATGGCGGCCCACGAACTCTCTTCTCAAATCACAGGTTGACACTTTTGCACCTTGAGCCCAAGACAGGTGGAGTCTTGCTGATTCCTGTGAGGCCCTCAAGACACTTTTCTTCCGGTCTGTCTAAAAAGTACATTGTTTCTTTACAGTGGTGCTACACTTTCCAGCATCCACACTTTATTTGGCTTCAGTTTTTCGCATGGTTCCTTTTGGGGCCTGAATTTAAGTTTTGTAAACAAATTTTTTTTTTTTTTGTCTTTTGAGACAGGATCTTGCCTGCAGTTCAGACTGGCCTTGAGCTTACTTTGTAGCCCTGGCTAGTCTCGAACTCACAGAGATCCTCCTACCTCAGCCTCCAAGTGCTGGGATTTCAGGGGTGAGCCACTTTGCCTGGTGAGGTTTTCAATTTTTTTTTTTTTTACTCTGTTTTCTGCCTGATTCTGCCAGATCCTCCCTGAGCTACCTCCCTCCAATAGCTCCACCCCATCTTTACTCTCTGTCCCTTTCTCAGAGAGGCCTCTGGTTCCCTACCATCGCCTACCTCTTCTTTCTCTTACAGCACATAGTATCCACTAGGATGGCGCAGTAAAACTTCAACCTCTGGCTGTTCCTTGACTAGTCCCCATACTGGAGGGAAATAAGTTTCATGTCGCTCCTCTTGTTCACTATTTTATCTCCAGCCTCCTGGTGCACAGTAGGTATGTAACAAAGGGATGAGTGAATGGGCACTGGGTGACCAAGCATCTTAAAACATAATGATACTCAGCGTGAACTTACGTGATCATTCCAGCCAGGGTCACTTGTCCCCCGGCAGGAAGCTCTCTGAGCCCCGGCCTTTAGGGCTTTATGTAGGATCATTAAGTCGCCCCAGGCCTGGCGATCGGTGGCCCCGCTCCCTTCCCCCTTCTCCTGCCTTGATTCTTCCCCATGGAATAGCCCCTCGGAAGCCAGCTTGGGGAGGCCTCAGGGTGCACAGGTCAGGGTCGCTGTGAGACCCTCTGGATCTGGGGAGACCAGAGGTGCAGCACACAGCACTGCAGAAAGAGATGGGCCCAGTGGCTGCTTCCAGGTTTGAGGCCTGGGAGACCCTGAGCTGAGATAGAAGCGAACAGCAGCACGCTGGCTGTGTGGGGTGTGGGGGAAGGGGACGGGGGCAGGAAAGGCAGGTGCGAAGGCCCTGGTCAGGGAAGAGCTGTTGGAGTGGAGCAGCCAAGTCCCAGGGACTCTGCTCCTAGCAGGTGCATCTGTGCACCTCCAACAGTCAAATCGTACTCTAGGAGGCTGAGGCAGGAGGATCACGTGTTTGAGACCAGCCTGGGCAACTGGGCAAGAGGCTGTCTCAATAAACCAAATCAAACAAACAAAAGACAAACAGACACCCACCATTTTGACCTGGTCATTGAAAAGAGGATTCTGTTACTGATTGGGATTTTAGGGTGAAAGAGAACCTTTTTGGGGTGGCCATTTGGCCTCAGCAAATTTCATCGAGGCTTCTTTTCTTTAGATTTTCTTTCTTCTTCTTTTTTTTAAATAAGAACTCTTCACATGTGAACCACTTTTGCTTCACTGCCTCTTTTTCTTCTCTGAGCTCTGGTTTTGCTAAATGCAAACACTACAAGGTCAGCCACCCGAGCCCATCTTAGCTCACCCCTCCGTCCCAAAGCACACCTCTGAAAATCACTTGTTCATTTGCTTAGTGGCTGGTGTCAGTGGCATGGTGGGCTCATGCAGTTCATGTAGGAGTTGGCAGGAGCATCTCCCCTGCCTCCCTGGACTTGCCCTCCATGCAGAGCACCCAAGATCCTCATCCTTTCCCCACTCGCCAGGGCACCCCCAAAGGCAAGAGCCATGGAAACCTCAAGGAGGAAACAGCCTCAGAACTAACTAGATCTGGACCCATGTGACAAAGTGGCTCTGGCCAAACCAAAGGGGCCTTAGTGGTGGGTGCAGGGGACCCATGGGGCCCCTGCCTGCACATATGAAAATCATTCATTCATTCGAGTATATTGAGTGCTTCTGAAGAAGCTGAAATGTCTAAACCCTGAACAGAACACCCCCTAAGGGATTACAGCTGGGTCAGCAGAAAAGAATAGGATATTGAAGCTGAGGTTTTGAAGGATGCATAGGAGTTCAGCAAGGACCACTCAGATCGATGCCTTCCCTGGCCATTGTAATTGGCTCAGCCTTAAGATTACTGCCTCTGCAGTCCCTCCTTGTCCAGCCCTGGTGGTGTTCCCTGTAACAACCACCTCCTGAAGCTATGTAGGGGGCCTCAGGAGCATGTGCAAGCCAAGCCTCAGAGCGAGCATTTCGCAGTGTCACTGTAGGAGGCCACTGTCTCCATCTGAACTGAGGCCAATGACTCTGGCCCAGCATGTCTTGCCCAGGGAGGTGACGGGGTCAGAGCTCAAGGCCTCTCAAGAAAGTACCTGGGAATGAGGTACTGCATCTTGTAACCCTGTCTCGATTACACTAGTGCCCAGCCTTGGGAACCTGGTGAGAACCTGCTTCAGTAAGACAGAGCTGGGATGCAGTCAGGGTGGGGGTCCTGGGCTGGGCCCCAGCTCCCCACACACACACTTGTGGTGACCACAGTAAACACTGCTTCCATAGCAACTAACTTCTACAATAAGCAATATCTGGAGGGGTAGTGGAAGGTGGCCCCGTCAACCTGGATGGCCCCAGGAGGCCGTGCTGGGCAGAAGCTCAGCAAGGGCACAGGTGCTGAGGGGGAGCCGTTTGCTGGAGCAGAGCAGATGGTGGGCTTCAGGATGGGCCTGGTCAGAGCAGGAAGAGCGCTGCATCTCCCATGCAGTGTGGGAAGCAACAGGAAGCGTGGGGCAGGACGGGGACCCTCTCCTGCGGTGCCTGCCTGCCTGACAGCCCAGTGACTCAGGAGGCTGAGGCAGGAGGGATTAAGGCACGAGTCCAGCCTGGGCAGTGTAGGACTTATGGAAACCGTGTCTCCAAATAAGGGCCGGGGACGCAGTCCAGGGACAGAGTGAGCGCCCTGCACGTGACGTGCGAGGCCCTGGGTTCAGGCCCCATCAATCAGCCAATCAATAAACCGATCAGTCAGGGAATCACTCAGTCAATGAATCATCCATGTCCCCTGCGGCATGCTGACGAGGAATGAGGAAAATGGGACATGGAGAGGAGGGCTAGACGGGTGCAGGATCCAAATGGTGCTGGTCCGGCCTCCCATGAGCTCATGACCCTCTTGCCTCTGTCTCCTGCTGGGATCACAGGAGTATCCAGGGCGGCAGCCGCCTCTGAGCCTTTCCCTGGTGACATGGAGATGCG